TAATTAATTTTATGCTCACTACTTTTGAAACACTAGAAGATCTTTGCAGAATATTAAGTAAGTTTCATTCCGTATGTCCAAATAAAGTTACTTCCAAGGAAAATACTCAGCTTCTATGGAGACTTCCGGGTAGAAGTGTATATCACCAAAGCTTACATTGAATCAGAGTTAAAGAGGCGCTTATCTTGTCTCTTTCCACATAACCATGGTTATCGTTTCTTTGTCTCTTTCCTAATTCAGTAAAGAGAAGAAAAAAAATTCTCCTACTTCTTCATGCCAAAACAGCTCTTGTTTTATTACTTCCAATGGGAATGTATTTTCCTTGTGATTTGGGCACCTAGTCCTCTAATACATCCAGGGTTAGTTACTGTTTAACTATTTGTTTGCAGCAGTTAGCAATTTGCATGGACAGTGTATCAACAAGCCACTGCCTCACGAAACTCCAAATGCCTCTTTGGAAGAAAGATGACAGATTCAGCCCACGGACTTGGTAAAACTTTAAAAGATTCCTATCAAACACGTGAAAACAACCTCCTCTCTATAACTTGAGGAAAGAATGAGAAACCATCTTACATCAGATAAAAAATGATTCCTTGCTAGTAAACAGGCCTGGCTGATCTAGCCTCCACTCCTTTATGTTCTTTTTGCAAAAACTCCATAAGAACACATTTGGGGCTACTTTTTCAGAGTTGGCAATAGTCTCTGTTTTTAAGGAATCATGACACAAAAAGCCACAGTTGATGAAGAGCTTGTAATCCCCAGAACACAGAAACAGGATGCATAGGCCTTAAATTGTAGTCATCAGGTTTGGTAACTTGATTAAATTTGGGTTGAAACAAATGAAATTTGGGCTGAGCGCGTGGCCTGCGCCTGTAACTGTGCACTTTTGGTGCCAGCTGTGGATTACGAGACAGAGTTCACATGTTTAAGCAGATACTTCTGCCTTTCCTCAAAAGACTAAAAAGCAGGCATGGTGGATGGGTGCCCAAACCAGCTACTTGGGAGGCTACAGGCAGATAACTGCTTGAACCCAGAGCTGAGGCTGTCAGGAGCTGGAGATCACGCCACTGCACTCCAGCCTGGGCAACAGAGTAAGACTCTGTCTCAAAGAAAAAAAAAAAGGAAAGTTTATATTTTCTTGTTACTAGTACTTTAAAAAAAAAAAAAAGAAAAGGAGGAAGAGAAAGATGAAAAAGAGGAGAAAGAGGAGGAACTAGAAACTATAAAAATACTCTTTGGGGTGATGGAATGATAAGGCGATCTCTAATTTTCAAATTACCTTGAGATCTAAAGAATTCCACCCTTAATGTTAAGTCCAGTTCTTTTTTTCACCACTTATATGTAAAGTATCATAGCTGCTTTGATATATTTAGAAGTTATTTAGAGAAGTTAACTAGTGTGTGAGTGTGTGTGGAGTATGTGAGGTGATAGAGAAAGAGAGGGAGAGCTCCTCTTAATAAGCTTGGCTTACAGATAGAACAGATGCCTCAGACATCATGCGAAACTTTCTCATTGGAAGATGTTGAAGCAGAATCTGGTATTGTGGAGTAGACTAAACACTAGATTAATACTTAAATCAGTTAGCTTGTATGGATTTTTTTTTCACTGAAGAGTTCTATCCATCATGAATCAGAACTAAGCCCTTCACCTGTTCTTATAGCCAACTCTTGATCTGGGAAAATGACATTTAGGGTAATACTTACCTATTTAGTTCTTATATGCAAGAAAACACTGGCCACCTTCTTTTTTTTTTTTACTAACGTCCTATTTTATTTCTTTAGGTGTCTGAACACACAGCGCCGTTGATCCTTTCCTGCATGGTCAGACTACCTCGATTACAACATTTTACACTGTGCGGGAAGGTAAATGCCAGTAATCTGATTAATAAACAGACAATAAGCTATTTTTCCCTTCTTGTTTATTTTTATGTTAGGTTCTGGGAATCCTGAGTTTACTCTCCTCCCTGGTCTGCTACTCACTAATGGTTGGAACATCATCTTTAACCTCCTGCTTCTCTTAGGTGCATTGGTGCTGAAAATAAAAGGATTTTCAAGATTCCTCCGACTCCTAAAAATGATGTTAATCGCTTTATCTGTGTACAGTTGAATCAGCTGCTACCTTGGACAGACTTGGTAATGACTTTGAATACATAGTTAATAAACAATCACAGATTCTTGATTACTGACCCTGGAAGTTGCCTCCCATTTCCACTGGAATTAACTGGTGTAAGGAAAGAATGTTTTTATGTGGAGAGAAGAGACAACATATTATATTTAACAGTTAAACAAGTTGAGTCCAGGCAACAGTTCAAACCCACAGAATAATTAGGGCTTATACTTTTCTAAGACGTTCAACCAAGAAAGATAAATTGAATAATTCATAGTACTTTACTTCCATTTATTTTTGCAATTGGATAACCCCAGGTAGGTAGCCCCAACCACGCTAACATTACTCCCACTCTGCTTCTTTGAGCGTATTTTCAGGGCCATTGGTTTCTGCAAGCTGGTCTTTAGAAGCCTTCACATGCTACAGAAAGAAAAGACAAAGCTTTAAAGTGACAGTTCCTAAATGCTGTGGTCTGAATGTCCCTTCAAAATTTATATGTTGGAACCAACCCAATATGACAGTATTAGAGGCAGGGCCTTAGTAAGGTGATTAAATCATGAGGGTGGTGCCCTCACAAGTGAGATTCGAGCTCTTGTTAAAGAGGCCCGAGAGAGACTGCTTGCTCCTGCCATGATCTGTGGACAGCTTGTAAGTCACTGTCCATGAACAAGGTTCCCTACTAGATACTGATTTTGTTTTTCATTTTGATTTCTAGTTTTTTAGAATTTGGTGAGAAGTGAATTTCTGTTGCTTCATGTCACCCAGCTGGGCATTTTGGGTTACAAATGTTCCTCGAGTGGACTACACACTTTAACACGTAAGACAGAACCGGGTACGCGCAAGATCCTTATTTGCCACTTAATTAGAAACAAAGTTTCATAATGTTATCTGCCGTATTTTGGTTTTAGGCAATACTTTCTCCATAATATTCTACCATTAAGTGTAATGTTGAAATCCTTTTATAGAACTGAATACTTCAATCTAATAGGAACTTATTCCTTACTTTAAAAACAGCATCTAAAGATTCTGGTAGCACATACTAGTGCATGTACTGATATTCTGGAAAACCTTTCCATTAGTATATAATTGCTTGTTTGTAGGAAAAACATGAATTTCAAATCCCAGTCTCATCCTCAGGTATGTCACTGTTCTCTGTGGTCATTCCTTCATTACTAATTAAATACTAGCATATCTTCTGTGAGTCTTAATGTCATATTAGGTGCTAGAGATAATAGCAAAGTCAATAAGAAGTAGCCCTTCATGAGGCTTATAGTCTGTTTGGGAAGAGACAATTAAATAAGTAATAAGAAAGTGCAGAAGGGCTTCCAGGCTGACTCGGTGCCATGGCGGGATCTGATAAGGGCATCTAGCTTGGTTTCCATTGGGACAGCAAAAGGTAGAATAGTGGCACAGAAGGGTGGGGTGAGGGTTGCTTGAGGTCAGGTTATTTAGGAGGATTAATCAGTAACATATATGTAAAACATCTGGAGCAATACAATAGGCACTCAATAAATATTAATGTTTCCACATTTTCCCCTCTCCCTTGTACTTCAAGGTCCATTACGCTAATAAGGAAAAGGCTATAAATTGAATGGGATGGCAACTTTTAAAAATTGCCCTTTCCAATTTATGCATTTCAAAATTAAAATTTCATTATCTTTACCTGGTGATACTCAGAACTAGCCTTTATCATGAACTTTGTAATTAGGGATGTAGTGAAGAGATTGTATGTTCAAACATTCAAATTTCCTTTGAATGGCCTAGAGCATTGGTTGCTATAAGCCAGAAACCACTTGAAGTATACTCAGAAAAGTTTGTAACTAAATTATGAAACACCAAAATTAAGATGACTAAGGAGAGAAGCTGTTGTATTTTCAGATCGAGCCTTAAAAGTGTGTCTTGCACCCTGGTAGGGGTACCCCAAATTTGTAAGCTCAGAGCTTGGTCCCCGGAATAAAACAAGTTTATAAATTCAGTTGCCCAGTTCATTTTGAAATAATCAGACTTGAGGGAAATGATCTACATTAACTAAATGGATAAGATTTGTTCACATACCAAAGCATCCATTTATTCTTTACAAGAGGATGCTATACTCCAGCTCCTGAAACCGCACAGAGTATTCCCATCTGATAAACAGCTCTACTCAGAGAACCAAATGACATGTCAGCAAAACGTGCAGCCGCAGCAAGGAGTTAGCATCATTAGGATCATGTTTACTGAGTACACAGTAGTAGTTTATAGTCAACATCTATTGCTACCCAGTTATTAAATGTTTCTAATATTTATCTCAGTATTTCCATCAACTTCTCCAGTGCATTAAGGAACTGTTTTGGTCTATACAACCTGTAATTAATTGTTGGGTCACTTGACTCCTCACTGCTTCAGCATGCTTAATCACCTGGCGATCAAGACAGGTCATTACGATTGGTTAGATGAAAATTTCTCTCACTTAGTTTTATTTTAAATGCCATGATTTTTTGTTTTTTGTTATTTAAATGTGATTTTAAGGGAACATTCCAGTTTTCTCAGTAGCATGCTGTGAGACTTGGGGAAGTTTCCACATAAACAATAGGGCTTTTGATATTAACTCCAGTTAATTTGTAGAGATTTAATTTCATGATAATTTGTGAATTGTTCAGAAATCTGGAATTTATCTGATTTAAGAACCAATAAATACTACCCATATCCTTACTTAACAAACAAATGCTAAAAACAGCAGCCCATGATCCCTTTCAGGCTGTCCAACCCTATTCCAGCCTCAGCCTGGAGCATGAAGACAAGTGAGCCAGAAGATGGCTAGAGTTGCTAAAAAGGAACCCACATGTAATGTTATTACAGGTGGCTGCAGATCACAATTTGCTTGTTTTAAAATTTTCTTTAATCTTCTGAAGCAGTATAATTAGGTTCAAGTCAGATTTCAGATTTCTAACCCTCCTCTCTTTTCACCTCTCACAGGCAAAGACTACCAAGCAGAAGCACGATGGCACAGGGGCTCAAGCTCACATACCCAGTACTCCAGGCGGCCATCTCCAGTTGTACAAGTAAGAAGAGAGTTCACCCTGGTCTTGTACATACTCATGGTGACAAGAGAGTGTTTTAACCTGTTCAATACAGACTTGGTTCATGGGCAGGGGGAAATGCAGAAAGGGCTGCGAGATCTGAATCAGTTTATATCTATTCCCCTGAAATAGGTACTACATTATAGAAGTATGTTTCTGTGAGAAACTAATAATATTAAGAGCTAATATTTAAACAGCACTTACAACGTGTTGGAAACCATTGTAAGTGCTTTACATACATCATCCCTTACCACAACCTTCTAAAATTTGCACTCTTATTGTCCCAATTTTACAGATGAAATTGAGGACAGAGTGGCACAGTAATGCCAAAGTCATATAATTAGCAAAGCTTGAGCCAGGATTTGAGTCTATGGTTGATAGAGTTTGTTTCTTTACACCAGAGGCAGAGAGATTTTCCCCAGTGATGATGCCAAACCAAACACTAAACGCCGATCTTTACACATTCTAGACCTGTGCCAATGCTGTCAACAGAACTCTCTGTGTTTATGGAAATATTCTATGTCTGTGCTAGATCCTGTAGCCAGTAGCCACATGTGTGGCCGTTGAGCACTGGAAGTGTTGCTAGTGCCACAGAGAACTGAACTTTTTACTCTATTTAATTTTAATTAAATTTAAGTAGCCACTGTGTTAGACCTACAGGTTGAGAGCAAGTTTTTAAAATATGATATAGGTACTTATACTTTCCTGACCCATAACCCCATCCAGTCAGCTACTGCTGCCACTTAAAGTCCCAAAAGTATACACTCTGAGGATGCTGATCCCTGCACTTGCTGTACTACTGCCAGTGGCTTCTGATTTCATCCTCTCAATTCTTCCATGCTAACTCCTCATCAGCCTCCTCTGACCTCATTTGGCCTTCTAGAGATAAAGCCTCCCAATTGGCATGCACTTAGGCCATGTTACTGTGAAAGCTCGGGAAAAGAAGACACTTCACCAATGTTTTTGTATCCCCTTACCCCTAAAGCTGTGAACTACAGTTCTTTGCATGGAAATCTGATAACAGCATGAAGACGACAGTATCTATGTCAGAGCATGACCTGGTGAGCCCAGCAGTTAAGATGGAAACAGTCAAAAATGGCAGCTGCCTAGCTCACAAACAGGAAAGTCCAATGATACGCAGCTCATCTTCAAATTTGATGAAAACTTGCAAGCATTATTTGGTCTGCTCTGTTGCATTAACTTGTATGCGGACCCTCATTTGCAAATCAGCAAATTTCAGACCTCATCTTTTTAAAAAGGTAGAATAATATTTCTCTAATAAGTAATAAATGAAAGTATAATGAAAGTCTTAATAATACATGAGGTAGGATATTTGCTTGAAAGGTTCTGTGAAGAAACTTGATTTTTCACCTATAAAAATGAATAACATAAGCACAGGATTATTATGATTAAATGAAATATATGTTGGTGGGCAGTACTCTGACTAGAGCTGTTACTTGGTTAAGACTAATGATGACTATGTCTCTTTGATGATTACAATGTTGTCTAATTTTGTTTCAAGACCTACTTCTTTATAGAACCGAAGGCTAGCCAGGCATCGCGTTGCATGCCTGGGGTTCCAACTGCTTGGAAGGTTGAGGGTGGGAGGATCACTTGAGACAGCCGGGCAAAAATAGTGAAACCTGGCTCCAGAAACAAAATAAAAACAAAAAGCTGAGAATTGTCAGCACTAGAATGAAACACATGAGCATGGTAGGTTTCCTTAACAGTTGAAGAGCTGTAATGAGAGTCTCTCGAGCTAGGGCTATGGAAAAGCGTAACTTTAAACAAGAAGAATGACTGCACTTTTAATATAATGAAGCAAAGGATGGAAAGGGAGCTTTATGAGCCTCTTTCTTTTAATTCCATTGCTTTACAAGTGCAGCCTAATGTGGCTTCTAACAACTTGCCCGGTTGTGGAGCTGTTAGTCGACTTTGGAACATCTGGGGCAAGACATGTCAGCATTTTTCTGCTAATGTACATTTTGTATTTGTCTCATTATGTTTCTTCTCAAGTTTAGAAGCTCCTAATTGCTTGATAATAAGTAGCAGAGTCAGACCTCAAACTCAGGTTTGATTTTTTAGGCTCTATCGTTGTTTTCCTATAACAGATGAAGTAATTTGAGGGTATTTTTATTTGTTTTTATTTTGCTTTGTTCCAGACATTTCTGGATTTTGAAAAGATCAAATACAGAATGTCTCTGAATATTTGTATTATAAATGTAGATAGGTAGGATGGTAGAATGAAGGGTGGATAAAACATCTGGGAAAAGCTAATAATAATGGCACAGAATTTTTGTAATGGAGGGAAAGTAATATAGGGAAAGTGGACAAATTATTAATAAACATAAGGCGGGTCAGAGAACAAATATAATAGAAAGGAATGGAAGAGAGCCATTCAGATAAGTTTATAAAAGATTTATGTAAATGTTTTGCGAACTCGTAAGGAACCCAGGAATGGACTAAGCTTGTTCATCTAACTGAGAGTATGATAAGCACAAGAAATTTGAATACAGACAAAATATTCCAATGCTCAAAAATAGCAAGTATTCATAGTTTTTATTCTGCATCTGTATTATTTTTCCAAATGCCTAATTTCCAAATAGCTACTATATATTAAATAAATATTTTTCTCCTCTTTCTCTCTGTATATGTCTCTCTCTCTTTCTCTCTCTCTATGTATATGTGTTTTTGAGAGTATATATGTGTATATATGCATACACACACACATACACATAAAAGGCACACACATATAATTTTATTAATAAACAAACAAATAGTTGCTAAGTACCTACAATGCCACTGATCCCGAAAGGCACTATACATGGCCTTGAGGGAAAGGAAAGGAAGGACTTCATATGTGTTGAGCATTATTTGCCAGTCATCTACTAACTGCTACACACTCATTGATTCACTCAGTTCTCATAATAGGGCTATAAACAAGTGGATGGCATTATCCCCCACTTTACAGATGAGGAAAGTTTTTCTTTTCTTTTCTTCCTTCTAGTTTGTGAGAGATTCCACTAAGTTCATTCAGATAGAGATGAAAGAGACTGGGCAATCAGATTATCTTTCTCAAGAATTTGAAAATTTGGGAAGAGGATAAGAAGACTGAAACTGCCTGGGCACAGTGGCTCATGCCTGTAATCCCAGCACTTTGGGAGGCCCTGCCAGGCAGATCACCTGAGCTCAGGAGTTCCAGACCAGCCTGGCCAAAATGGTGAAACCTTGTCTCTATTTAAAATACAAAATATTAGCTGGTAAAGATGGTAAAATGTAGTCCCAGCTACTTGGGAGGCTGAGGCACGTTTAAGAATTGCTTGAACCCAGGAGGAGGAGGCCGCAGTGAGCCGAGAGCACACCATTGCACCTGGCCTGGCATGGAGCGACTCTATCTCTAAAAAAAAAAAAAAAAAAGGTGGGGGGGACGGAGCAAGATGGCCGGGACAGGAACAGCTCCAGTCTCCAACTCCCAGCGCAGCTACACAGAAGACCGGTGATTTCTGCATTTTCAACTGAGGTACTGGGTCTATCTCACTGGGGAGCCAGACGCATCGGTGCTGGTCAGCTGCTGCAGCCCGACCAGCGAGAGTTGAAGCAGGGCCGTAGGCATTGCCTCACCTGGGAAGCGCAAGGGGGAAGGGAACTTTTCCGAGCCAGGGAACTGAGACACACAACACCTGGAAAATTGGGTAACTCCACCCCAATACTGCGCTTAAGCAAACAGGCACACCAGGAGATTATATCCCACACCTGGCCGGGAGGGTCCCACACCCACGGAGCTTCTCGCCAGGCACAGCAGTCTGTGATCTACCGCAGCAGCGAGGCTGGGAGGGGCGCCCGCCATTGCTGAGGCTTGCAGCAAACAAAGCTGCTGGGAAGTTCGAACTGGGTGGAGCTCACAGCAGCTCAAGGAAACCTGCCTGTCTCCGTAGACTCCACCTCTGGGGACAGGGCACAGTAAACAATAACAAACGGGTTAAGAAACCCTCTGCAGACGCAGCCCACTTCTGTCTGACAGCTTTGAAGAGAGCAGTGACCCCAACGGAGGTCGCAGATCTGAGAAGGGACAGACTCCTGCTCAAGTGGGTCCCCACCCTGAGTAGTCTAACAGGAGACATCCCCACTAGGGGGCAGTCTGACACCCCACACCTCAGCAGGGTGGAGTACACCCTGAGAGGCCTGAAGCAAGAAATCGACAGGTACACGCTTGTTCAGAAATAGCCCTATCTTCTGCAGCCTCTGCTGCTGATACCTAGGCAAACAGGGTCTGAGTGGGACCTCAAGCAATCTCCAACAGACTCACAGCTGAGGGTCCTGACTGTTAGAAGGAAAACTATCAAACAGGAAGGACACTCACACCAAAACCCCATCAGCACTCACCATTTCAAAGACCAGAGGCAGATAAAACCACAAAGATGGGGAAAAGCAGGGGAGAAAGCTGAAATTCAAAAAATAAGAGCGCATCTCCCGGCAAAGGAGATGCAGCTCATCGCCAGCAACGGATCAAAGCTGGACGGAGAATGACTTTGACGAGATGAGAGAAGAAGGCTCCAGTCCATCAAATTTCTCAGAGCTAAAGGGAGGAACACGACTCAGCTTAAAGAAACTAAAATCTTGAAAAAAAAGTGGAAGAATTGATGGCTAGATTAATTGATGCAGAGAAGGTCATAAACGAAATGAAAGAGATGAAAACCATGACACGAGAAATACGTGACAAATGCACAAGCTTCCAGTAACTGACTCGATCAACTGGAAGAAAGAGCATCAGTGATTGAGGATCAAATGAATGAAATGAAGCTTGAGAAGAGAAACCAAAAGAAAAGAAGAAAAGAAACGAAATTGTGCCCAAAAGCAGCTGGCGATCATGCAAAAAATAATCCCAAACCGACTTTAAAATAGTGAGGGGAAAATGGAACCAAGTTGGAAATACTTTCAGGATATTATCTAGAGAATCTTCTTAAATTTAGTAGGGTAGGCGC